CTACAAAAACACAAAAATATGCACACATTAGTGAAAGAAGGAAGGGAGAATGGAGAGAGCGAGCCGCACAAGCCTGTTGCCTCTCGTGTGGCGCCATCTTGTGGCCTAAATAAAACCAACACACCCAGAAACCACTCATCAGAGGAAGCCGTGATTTGATGGAGTGCACCTTTGCGAACATTTGGAAAGAACATATTCAAAAAAAGCTTCACTTTATAATTAAACTGTGACAATTAATTAAAAATATCATTTTAAAATGATCACATTTGTCATTTTTCAATATTAATTATTATATTTGCAAATTATTATTAGAGGAAAGCAAAGAATTTCTGAAAATATGTTTAATTATCTTTAATGACTACATGTTTAACAAGTTACAGCTTCTACATCTACTTTTACTAAGTGTGATCGTGCACTAATATGATTCGTTTATGGCTCACTTAACTCGACCATAACTGGAAACACAAACAGAACCTTCTCTTCATGGGAAGGGTCACAACTTTTCCTTGGCTAAACTAAAAAAAAAATATATATATATATATATATATATATATATATATATATATATATATATATATATATATATATAAAATTCTAAAAGTCTGTTTGTTCACATTATTTAACGACCCTGAGGATTATCAACTGGGGTCATTATTTGTTATTATTATTATTATTATTATTATTATTATTATTATTATTATAAGGACAGCAGTAGCTCAGGAGGAAGAGTGTGTTGTCCAGTAATCTGAAGGTTGCAGGTTCGATCCCGGCTCTTGCCAGAGAGTGCTGCTCAGGGAAGCTTTGGCTACATTGTAGCTCATCACCAGCATGTGAATGTGTGGAAGAATGATTGAGTTGTGAAGAGCCTTGGGGGGCTGTAGAACCCTAAGAATAAAATGAATGCGAGTCAATGGCGCTAAAAACGCTATGTTCTAATCCCTGTTGATATGTGCCATGGATTTCTTACACGGTGAATTAAAAGAGAAACTCTGATGCTAAGAAACGCTCCTTTTCGAAAAGGGGGAATCGTTTCTTTAGCTTTTGTGTGAAATCCGTCCAGGACTACACATTTGCATCACCAAATTGACACCAACAAACCAGACTCGGGGGAAGAGCTGAGGAAAAATGGCTACAAGTTCAGCAAACTTCAAATCCTTCCTTCAGGAGGAACGATCCACCATAAAGCTGGCCTGAAGTAGCAGCTCCGCTGGGGGCGGAGATTCTGTGGTGACGTCAAACATGCGGTGATGTTTCCTCACAAACAAACCTCATCACCATTGTGAGATTGCTCTGTAATCCATTATTAACACGTGGAGAAAAATTCACATTTCAGACATTTGTTTACTAAAACATGACTAAAAATGATAAAATCGGTAAAACGTATCTCTGTTTTCTAAATAAACCCTCCAGTTAGAGTTCAACAACTAAGTAATCCTAAAAGGATATAACAGGACTGAATAACACATCCTAATGTAGCAATAATAAATAAAATAAAAAATAAGGAATGAAACTCACCAAACCTCTCAGCTGGGTGAGTCCTAGTGTGGTACAGAGACACTTATGGAAATCACTGAATACACACATAGTATGGAGGGTTTCAAGTGAGTTTTATTATGATGTGATATGATATTCCCTGGTTTGTAGGAAGCATTTGTTTTCTGTCAGGACAGAACTGCTCCTCAGCTGATCACAACCAAACCATCCATCCATTTTCAGCCACTTATCCAGGATTGGGTCGCAGGAGCAGCAGCCTAAGCAGTGAGGCTCAGACATCCCTCTCACCGGCCACTTGGGCCAGCTCCTCCAGGGGAATCCCAAGGTGTCCCCTGGCCAGTAGAGAGACATAGTCCCTCCAGCGTGTCCTGGATCTTCCCTTGGGTTTCCTCCCAGTTGGATGTGCCCGGAACACCTCACCAGGGAGGCGTCCTAACCAGATGCCCGAGCCACATCACCTGGCTCCTCTCGATGTGGAGGAGCAGTGGATCTCACCAGGAACGAGCCCGACTTACTGTCGGCAATGTGGACCAAGCTCTGACACCAGTCATGCAGGGACCTAACAGCCCGTATCAGAGGGCCTGGTACCTCTCTCGAAGTACCCCCAAAGGCCCCCCAAGGGAAGCGGTCGAACACCTCCTCCAAATCCACAAACACACGTAGATCGGTTGCATGAACTCCCACACCCTCCGAGGTCACCCTAAGGGTATAGAGCTGGTCCAGTGCTCCTCGACAATCTGACAGACCCTCCTCTCCAGAACTCCTCAATAGACCTTACCAGGGAGACTCAGGAGTGAGATCCTCCTGGCTGCACACTCTGCAGTCCCCCTTTTATGTAGGGGACCACCACCCCAGTCTGCCTAACTAATGGGTGTGATTCTAAAGCAGGTCACGTGTCATCAGACGTTTCTGTTGGAGCAAGATAATGTTGAGGAAACTACGATAGTGGTGTCCAAATCTCAAGAGACAGAGGCCAACATTGACCAGGTGTAGGTCCTTGTGGCCCATGAATCTGATCTGACTCACATGCTGATGAAAGTCAGGTGTGATGTTGCAGAGAAACCTGGTCCTGGAGCACCAGAATCAGACTTTACTGTTTTAAATGACGTTACCTTCCCTTTTAATAGAAGCAGGTTTCTGTGCCATTGAGCTTTTATGAGATTTTTCTATTTTATTTTATAAAAGTAATAGTGTTTTATTTGTGTTTTATTGTATTCGGGCGTTGGTCAGTCTGCTAAGTTTGTAGCAATATTGAAGCAGGAAGGGGCGGGAGTTCATAAGAATTTTTCTTCGTCTCACTCCTGTTCTGTTGTCATGGAAAGTATTGTTATGTAAAATTGTTGTGGCATTTCTGATAAAAAAATATAATATATTTAAAATGTAGTGTCATAGTTTTTATGTTTATTATGGTTTTGTTTTAGATTATTTTAATTTTTCGTTACCAGAATTTTGAGTGTTACGTTTTTGTTTTCAAACTTGTGACTTCGATCCACCCATATAAGCTATTATTGGATGGTTTATTTATACAGAAGGCTGTTACATGTTGGTCTGTTATCTGCTGAAACTGATGACGATGTGATGATTAATAGTGCCTTCTCTTAGAGAAGCTGCTCTCATCCAACAGGTGCTGCTGGTGTTTACCTACACATGTAGCCGGGTATTCCACACAACTCGGATTTGGCCTGTCATCCACCTGAATATGGATATATGGCACCAGAGACGATCTTTCAAAAACCTCCAACCAAGGTTGGAGTAAATGACCGGCGTTTCACAGCATCACCTGTTTACACTCACCAGGTGGTTTTACAAGCACAGTTAGTGCTCTTTGAAGAAAACCACAGTCAAAAGGTGAGTTCCCATCGACTCCCATGTTAAATGCCAAATTCAGAGCAGAAATAAACATGTTTGCAGCCCGGTACAGAAAACCATTTTGGGTGTATTAGGTCAAGTGTGTGTGTGTGAGTGCGAGCGTGCATGTGTGTGTGTGTGTGTGTGTGTGTGCGTATGTGTGTGTGTGTGTGTGTGTGTGTGTGTTCTCGATCCCCAGTGAGTCGTGGAGGATGGCTGCTTATACTGAGCCAGGATCCTCTGGAGGTTTCTTCCTGTTAAAATGGAGTTTTCCTCTCCACTGTCGCTGCATGCTTGCTTAGTATGAGGATTGCTGTAAAGACTCTGACACTAGTCAGTGACTTGATGAAACCTGCTGGGTTCCTTATATAGGAAACTTGTTACTGATTGGCTTAATGAACTGACCTGAATTGGAATGTTTACTGTGCGAAGGTCCTTGAGACGACTCTGGTCTGATTTGGCGCTTTAGAAATAAACTGAATTGACTGGAAGTTTGCCATCATGACACCTCTGAGGTGGCTGAATTGTTTTGTAACTCATCCGCATAGATGCTTGAAATCTTAAATAATTAGGGGCGTGCCCTTTTGTTTGACAGGAAGCAGATGAGCCGTCAGTGCTAACGCTAGCAGCTCTGCTCCTGCTTTCTCCATGGAAGCCCTCAGCCTGGGCCTCACATTTACAGCTAACAGTTTGCTTCAGGTAGCTCAGCTAGTTTGCAGCTACATCTGACCCCACCCTCACAGCTAGATTTTTGTATTTTCCAGATGTGATGAGATGTGTGACGCTTTCATGATGGCGATGGTGGAAACTGCCATTGGGCTTAAATTAAGCCCTTCAGAAATCTCAGGGTGATGGTGCAGAGGGCTGGCCATTACTAGTGTGGACCCAAGTTTTTTCTCAGGATACTCAGGCCTAGTCCACACGTACCCGGATAAATACGTTGTTAAAGACATGCCAGACCCGTAGGCGGCAGTACTTCCCCCGTTCTTAACCTCGTCCTTCGTCTGTGGTCTTCCGCAAGCAGCAGTAATTCCACTTGCAAAAACAAACAAGCAAAAAGCGCTTGGACTATTGATAAAGCGAGCGCAGCTCTGAGGGCATCCATGCTGTCGGCTAGTGTAAACACAGGTCGCACACGTGATGTCAGCATTTTTCGTCGCGGAAAGTGACGTTGCGGACCTTAAAACTCCGGTTTTGTCTGTCCACACGCAGACACCCAAAACGGCGAAAACGCAGATCTTCACTTTGGCCGGAGTTTTTAAAAAGATCTGTTTTCGTGTGAAAAAACTCCGTTTTCGTGTGGATGACAGGCCAAAACGTAGAAAAATATCTACGTTTTGGCAGATCCCCGGCTACGTGTAGACAGGGCCTGAGTTTTAGAAAACTCAGCTACTGTTCATGTGTACTCAGCCTTAGACTGGCCATCAGCATCTTTGTTTAATTACGTGGACATTTTACCCACCTCCTGGTGAGTCAGGGTGAAGGATTCACACACACACACACACACACACACACACACACACACACACACACACACACACACACACACACACACACACACACACACACACACACAGAGCTGTAACATTTAATTAGAGCCTGCCCTGTATAATAAAGTAACAAGGCCATCACAGGCATATCACACAGGCGTTTATAAATAACATGTATTCCACATTTATGTAGTTTCACATTTTCATCTTTCTACAAACCCTTTTACAGTCTGTTTCTCTGTGACCCGTACGCACACAAATACACGTAAGGGCCCGTGTGGGTTCAGGAATCTGGAAGTCAAACACACAACCTCATGACTGGACATCATCTTTACACGGTTGATCACAAACTCGTTTCATTTGTTTTATGGTTCAGATCATACAAATGAAAATACGTTGGTCTCAAACTCTGAAAGTTACAGTTAAAAACATGTTTGTTCATTGTTTGTTGTTACATGTTGGTAAACAGTCGGCGTCGCAGTAATCATGTCTGCTCTAACCCTAAGGCAGCTCAAATCACATCCTGGTTATAATACTGTCTTTATCGCTGCAACACCAATGAAGCTACTTCATTTACATGCCCTTCGTTTTTCTTATGTCAGGTAGACAACTCACTGACATGTTTATTACAGTTGAAGTGGTCTGCAGTAGGAATGAATGCCTCGTAAGTCATTCTCTGGGAAAGCAACCAGTTCCAGGAACTGATAGCTAGATCAGAGGAGAGCACCAGACGAGGATTTGGTGTCTGATATCCTGATGTTTGGACATCTTGCTAACAGCAAAATGCCTCTACCGCGTACTGTTTGCTCGGCAACGTTGAGGTTTTATCTCCATAAATAACACAAGCCTGGAGGACTTGCGCTGTGTGGTGAAGTTGCTAATGCTAACGGTTAGCTTCTACAAGCCAGGACGTTCTCTGCTGTTTCCTGGACCCTAAACCAACAACAGCCTTCCCCGTTGTGAGTCCAGATGGGTGAGTCCATGAATGTTAGTGACAGGGTGACGTAGATCTGTCAGGCTAATGCAGGAGATAGGTGTAGGAGACTATTTTATGTTCAGCCTGCATGAAGAATTCAGAGTTAATCAGAAATAAAAAGTAAAATATTGTTTCGTGGTGAAGTAACCACTGAAAGCACAGACACTTCATGGTGTTTTCTCACAAAACCTCTCATAAAAACGGGAAGTCACCTTTCTGTCTTCTTCTACGTGAGGAGAAAGTCCATCACTTCATCAGTAACAGGCTCTGCTGGTACCAGAGGTGTAACAGCTTGATCACGACAACTAACTCTGCCGAGGAAACATGGTGGTTTTAAAATGAGCAATTAGCTTTAAACATGTCTGCATTTGACGATTTTAGCGATTTCAGCTCTTTGATCATTAAATAAAAATATTGTTTAGATTTGCAGGTCCTTCTCTTTCAGGAGAGCCGTGAATTAAGAGTCTGAAGCTGTTTAGATCTGGTGTGTGCCTCTGCTTCTTTACAAGTACTGCTCCATCTGCTGGGAATCGTTTAAATATAATTGTTTTATAATAAACTAGTTTCATTTCACAAACTTGACAAAATATAAACAGTTAATTTAATTACTATTAGGCTACCTGAGTTAACTGGTAGTTAGACAATCTGAGGTGTTAGTTTATCAGCCCTTTTAAAATGTTTTTGTGGCTCATTTAGAAGACCTGGATCTGTTGTGTTTGGGTTGTTTCTAATGTTCCTGACAGATGCTGAACGTTGGCGATGTACTTGTAGTGATTCACTTCTTTCTATTTGTAGTTTTTACTGTGTGATTTTAGTCTATATAAAAGAATATTTCTTTATCTTTTTTTTAAACCCAAACAATGAAACCATCCTGATATTCCTAAATGAAAACACCGAATTCCTCTTTTTAGTTTTGCTAAAACAAGATTTTTTGTTGTTGTTTTTTACCCAAGCTGTATCAAGATGCTTAAGGAGGAGTGTAGCTCCTAGCAGACAAACTTGATTTGGCAAAAAATTTAGTGGATTTCCTTTATAAGGTAAATTGTGAGTTTTAAAATAAACAAAATCTGTATGACTTTAAAACCAGTGTTTTATTTTATTATTTTCCCTTGTGACATCTAATTATTTTCAGGCCTTAAATTGTTTTACTGACTTTCTAAATCACTGGTGAGAGCACATGTTATGTACCAACCCCATTAAAGTAGGGGGATGATTGTTTTGATATCAAACAAGGCTTAAAGTCATGCTATTTAAAAATGATAAAATAGCTACAACTACACTTACTTTCAAATACACAAATATTTTATAAACGTGAAAACAAGTCATCTTTTACCTCCTGATAACAACAAATGTAATGGTGGTGAATGAACTCACAACTTTATCCACAGAAGCTTCACCCTTTTCAGAGCAACTGGGGCTTACTGGTCTCGGGCTGACAGACATGTGTGGTCAGTTAGAAGTCAACAATAAAACCAACATTTATGTAGTTAGAACCAGAAGAAACCCAATACAGGAAGAAAAGAACAGACATAAAACTTCACTCTGGTGTTACGAGGTGACCAGGCACAGATCAGTACACGTTTTCAAGAGTAGCAAACAAATAAATGAGGCATATCTTTTAAAATGATTGTTATTGTTGCTTTAGACAACAAAAACAACTTTTGGTCATTTCACCTTTTGCTCTTTTTAAAAATGCCGTTACAGACCTCCACCTGTCCTCAGAGTTCACTGACCCTCTCACTGAGGGTCTGCAGCTCCTCCTCCTTTTCTCTGTAATGTTCTACCCCTTTTTCCACATTGGTGCAGGAGCCATTGATAAGATTTGTAGGGTAGCTGAGGCCACTGAGCTGGGCATGGTGAAGCCAACGCAGGTCATCACTCTCGTGGGTGATGTAGCGCTCGTTCATTCGAGTCTCCAGGTTTCTCAGATCTAGCCACATCTGGTAGTCCTGGAGGAGAAAACAAACAGACTAAGCCTTAAACATTTGTGGATCCCTTGGCAAATGTAAAAAGCAAGCATCAGGCAACTAAATCAGACCTATCATGAGAATTTGGTCAAATTGGGCACATTTCTATATCTCTGCCTATTCAAGTCCTTTGAGAAAAATAACTAGTAAATTCCAAGTGTAACATCACATGGATATAGAGACCCAAATGTATCATCAAGTCAGGTCAAGACCTCCTTTTGTATTTTGGGAAATGCAGTTTCCCACCGACCACCAGCAATCATGATACTGAAAAAGTGAGAGACATAACACTGATGCCAAGGGAGATATTGGGGAATTGCGACATTCCGATGAGAAACAAGCTACTGGACTAAGACATGCATGAACAAGGGCAGAGAGCCCTACTAAATGACCTTCTATCATCTCAATCAGCTGAGTGTGCAGGATGAGGCTAGATGCTAAGATCAATAACTGGAGACCACATCCACCAAGAGCTGAAACTGAAATTTACTGGAGAAGCATATGAGAGAAGGAATTATCACACAACCCCAGTGTCTCATGGCATAAAGATCTAAGAACTGATTACAGTGATCTCCCAAAGTAAGAACCAGTGGCAGACAGTCCTGACATGGTCCACATGTTGCCTGAAGAAACCGATTCCCGTCCATGACTGCTTCGCATCCCAGATGAACTTGCTGATAATGAATGAGACCACCAAGAGTGGGTGAGCCAGTGTTGGACTGTCTTGATCATGAAAAGACCCCCGAAGCAACATTGCTAAATGACTGATCAGCCCCCTGACTCCATACAACATGGAAGATATTGCTAGGCATCATAGCTGCAAAGTTGAATGGGCATACAGATAAATACCCAACAGAGACACAGAACGGAGCAGGAGGACAACTCCAAGCCACCCTAGCACCAGTTTTTGGTCAATGGGGCAGAAGTTAGCAAAGTAAATGTCCTTGTTTATTTACCGCTAAGACATTCAAATATCGTTCAGACTGTTAAACGGAGGTCAAATTGTGTCCACGAAAGGCTAAATGATCTTCGCTGAAGGTGTTGATTTACCTGAAGGCAACACTGCAGACAGTTGTGAGCCCATTGGAAAATGGCAATCAAGAAGAGGCTGACAGGAAGTCACACACAACCACGTACCTCCATTGAGTATGGCAGGTCCTGAAGAGACATCTTAAGAACAGAGCCCCGCCTCCCTTTGCTTCTGGGATGTGTCCAAGTTGCAACGCTTAGAGGCCGGTGAAAGCACACCCATCCTCTGGCGGCTAACTGCTACATAAATGGATGTTACGTAACGCTTACGCATCTGGTGGAAAGGCCTGGTAAAGCTGCTGAAATCACTTTATGTGAGAAGGATTTTATGTTGGGTAAAGACCGTACCACAAATATAATCTCATAAAATGTCATAAAGCGTCAAGGCAGATCAAGTTAGCAGCTGATTTTCAAAACTGCTACCAATGACAAGAGAAGGCTGTGGACTCATTTAGTACAATTGCACTGTTCATGGCAGCAAAAGAGCATGCCATCAACACAAGAGGAACAGAGGCTGGGGTCCACAACACCATGCAGGACCTAAGATCAAGGCAATGCAGTGACGTCCCTGAGAAAGTCTTGCACATGACAGCAGCAACTAAAAGCAAGCAGGCAAAGTTGTTTGGGAACATCTGTACTTGAGATTCTATAGTCTAAAGCCCTTTTCAGATAGACATTCTGGAACATTTGTGGACAATTCAATCCGGTTTTTAACCGGAACTGTGTTTTCAGACAAACCACTTTTGTACCGGAACTTGTCCTTTCGGCTGCGTTCACACAGCAGGGAAAAGTTCCAGGGAATCGGACTCATGTTAAGAAGAAGAAGAAGAAGAAAATATAATTTCTATAGCGCCTCTCAAGATAAAAATCACGAGGCGCTTAAACGTAATAAGAGACCTGGATGATGAAGCTCAATGGTTAAAAGAATCACTGAAGCGGTGTGAAGCGCTCCGTCGCGTGTCTAGGCGGTACCGTAGGAGGCAAGCTGCCGTGGTTCGCCGCATGCTACAGGAGCAGGCTATCTAGGTGCGCACAGCGTCCCCCGGTCCCCTCCTCCTCCCCCTCCCCCTTGTCCGGAACTCTACCTCAACAGTCTGAAGCAGCCACCCTGTCCGTAACAACCGGACCTGTTACTAGGGACTTCATCCGGATAAATTCCAGAACACGTTATCTGGATGTTTGTATTTAGACACAAAGGTCTTACGGACAGAGTCAGGAACATTTCCGTTTTTCATGGCCTGTCTGAAGGGGGCTCAAGAAAGCTCTACCACCACTGGTGGATAAGGACCATGCACCACTGGATGCAGAGGCTACGATAACTTCCAGGGAGGGAGAGAGAGAGAGAGAGTCCATATATGAGTGAGGGAGAGAGAGAGACTGTAGGTGAGTGAGGGAGGGAGAGAGAGTCCATATGTGGGTGAGTGAGAGAGAGAGAGAGAGAGAGAGAGAACGAGAGAGAGAGAGAGTCCATAGATGAGCGAGGGAGAGACTGTAGGTGAGTGAGTGAGGGAGAGAGAGAGAGAGAGAGAGAGAGAGAGAGAGAGAGAGAGAGAGAGAGAGAGAGAGAGAGAGAGAGAGAGAGTCCATAGGTGAGTGAGGGAGCGGGAGAATTGTCCCCCATGGGAGCAGGTACCGGCTGGTTTCTAAAGCTTGCTTTATGCTTCATCAGGGCGAGTGAGGAGTCCAACACTTTGGCTGACTTGAAAGTTCAACTTCTCTTTAAAAACTGGTCTGAATGTTTCTGACGACATGTTAACTCAAACAAGCTAACGTGTCAGAGCATCTCTCACAAAGCTGACCAGCATAAACTAGGCTTTAGAGCGGTTCTAGTGAGGGTTAAGTTAGTGCAGCCAGCCCTGGTTGTGCAGGAAAACAACGTTTTGTTATTTAATACGTCTGAAAGCTCCTCCTTGTATTGTTGGAGTAGAACAAGAACATGTTTTTATAAAGCACCTCTCTAGAGAAAAATCACAAGCTGCTTCACAAACACATAAAAAAAGATATAAATACAATAATGGGAAAAATATGAATAGCTTTAACTGTTTTTATTGTATGACTAGATGGTAAAAATTAATGTGAGTACTAGATTAGAATCTAGATCACTTAATAAACAGGATGGCTTGGCAGGCTAGTGTTGGACCTTTGAAGAAAATTGTGAATTGAACTGAAATCATAATTTCTGCTAGAAAAAGCACAACTCAATATTTTCTTAAAATCGCTCAGCCCTGGCTGGTGAGTCTTCACATTTTATGTTTGAACTACTGACTGATCTATAGCTTACCTGTAACCAGGGGTGACTGAGGGTCTTATCGACACTATACCTCTTTCTCATCTTAACTTGGAGGAGGTTATTGATCAGGTCGATTGCTGCAAGAAAGAAAACAAAAACATTGTCGAATAAGAAAACACAGAATGGAAGATTTCAAAGGGATTGTCTTGTGTGTATATTGTCTGTGTAGCTACAAATTTTACACCTGGAGCCTCATTTGTATAACTTTGCGTAAAATCCTTACTAAAACTTTACTTAAGCTTGGTAAAAAATTGTTACGCAAACTAATTTTCAAACATATAAAACTCTGCTTACAAACGGCATGTTCTACTTTTTAAATCCAACCGATCCTAGAAATGTGCTAAGGTGTTTTTGGATCACATCCCGCCTCCTTCACACCTCATTTCTACCATAAATGGTCAATGCAAACATTGTCATGAATATTGTGCATGTAAATAAACCTGCTTATTACCACGTCACAGGTAACCATGACAACCGAGATGGAAATCCACGCTCTGGGGCACAGAAAACTGTTTTGTTGCTTTTGAGCTGCACCGCGCTGCCACAGCGGCAGAAAAAACAAAAATTAATAAGAATAAAGTAAAAACACAGAAAGAAATGGTCACATGGAGCCTAAGATGCCAGCTGTGTCTTCCCAGTCCCTCCATGCCTCTTCCCTTTTGCCCTGTGTCCTTGGGTTTCTGTCCAAGTAAGCAAGTAAGTAAGTAAGTAAGTAAGTAAGTAAGAAAGAAAGAAAGAAAGAAAGAAAGAAAGAAAGAAAAAAAGAAAGAAAGAAAGAAATCAGTGGTTCTATTTCGTCTAGTCTTAGCCCTTAAGCTAGCTGCTATTGGAAGGATGATCTCCGCATCAGCCAATCATGAAGAGCTTAAATGTACGCCCACCAATAGTGGGCCCCCTCGTGGTATATAACCGCAGTGACCCCACTGCTCACCTCCTTTTTCTCTTCATGCCAAGCTTGAGAGCTTTATTAAAGAGCAAATATTATCCCAAAAGAGCAAATTTATCCGAAGACGACTTACCAGCCATGTCCAGCGACGCCAGACCCTGCCCGACCTGCCAGACGGGCTCCATTTCCAGCGGCGACCTGCACGCTAAGTGTGAGGTCTGTCTCGGGGCTCACCACGCTGGCCTGGCCTTGACCCCGCAGGCCTCGTGCCCGTTCTGTGCCGCTCTGCCCGTGGCGGAGAAGAGTCGCCGGGTCGAGTACTTCACTCCCGCCGCCGACGAAGAATTTCCGGTGGCTGACTCCTACCCGCTGGACAAGGCTTTGGTTTTCTTCGACGCCGGTCAGGAGCCGGCTGGCTTCAACCGGCTGGATGACGTCACCGACAGCGAAAACTACGATGAGGCGGCATCCCTCCTAGACATAACGGAGGTCGACGAGCTTCGCTCAGCGGGTCCTTCTGCCCCAGTGGCTTCTCGCTCCTCCCTGCCAGCAGTAAGAGCACTGCTCCAGGAGCTGCCCGCCATCATTTCTGCGGCAGCAGCCCGCAAGGGGCTAGCTGTGCCAGAACCGGCCCTGCCTGAAGCGGATGATTTGGCGGGAATTTTCGGGGCAACTCAGACACGCTGTTCAGACCCTGTCTGGCCGCGCTTCCCCGCTGCTATGAGCTGCTGGTCTGCCGCCTTCTCCGAGCCTGCCAAGCTCAAGGCGCCAGTCTCCACGTATGCGCCCATCACCAAGGTCGAGGGGTTTTCCGACCAAGGCTGGCCGTCCGTTCCTCCACTAGAGCCGGATTTGGCCTCGCTGTTCGGCGCCAAGAACCACCTCGCTGGCCCGCGAGCTGTTCCCGCTTCAAAACATGACCAGCTGCTGACGCGGCTCACCGACCGCGCACATCAGTGTGCCTTTCAGACCGGCGTTGCAGGGAATAACATCGCCCTTCTTGCCTTCGGCGTCTCCAAGATGATGGAGGAGCTGGAAGCTCCCGAGGAGTCGAAAGCCGTCATAACGAAGACTGCTGATGCTATCCTCAATCTGTGTGCTGCTGTGCTCACCGGTTCTGCTCGCATCGCTGCCTGGCAGACCCTCATCCAGCGAGCGATCTGGCTGAAGGCCCTGCCCTCCATTCCGGAACATCTGCAAAGGGAGATGCTGGACGGCCCCATCACCACCGATGTTCTGTTTGGTCCCCATCTTAGGGGCGTCATTGAGAGGGCTCAGAAGACGGCCGAACTATCGGCTACGGTGCGAGACCTGGTCCACCCTCGGTCAGCCTCGCACTCCGGCCGTTCAGCCAGAGGATGGGACGAACGGCGCGGAAGCTTCAGACGTCCAGCTGCACCGCCCGCTCCACGGAGCCGGCCTCCCGCTTCGGCTCCACATCAGCGGGACCAGCGAGATGGCGGACAACGGTTCCGGCGGGGCCAGCAGACGCCGTCTTGGCAGTCCCAGGTGCAGGAGCATCGCCAAAAGCAGCCACGGAAGTGACTCTTTGGGGGGAATGTGTGTGTTACTGATTGTTCTGATGTTGTTGGTTTTGAAATAAAACCCAAAAAACGTCACTCAAAGAGCACAATCCTACAGTCCTCCGCAGAATCCTCTGCCGAGTTTTCACACATGTTCCCCACACCAAGCACTGCTGCACGCACACATGTTCCTGCAGGTAGTCATAATACACGGCCAGCCGTAAGGGTGCGCTCCATTTGCGCTCTGGCCCCAGCATCCGGCCAGGCCCAACTCTTCCCACTCTCCCCACGCCGTTGGGTGGGGCGGGATGTCATGTCGCTGTCTCGACCACGCGCGGCGGCACAGTGCGCAGCTCCATCCGCTAGCACTCTGTCGCCCCAGTGCACAGGCCCGGCTCCCACTCGTCCTTCACTCTCGGACTCCACGCTCTGCGGTGTGGACCAGCCTGTTCCAGCAGTTTCGCACTCGCCCTTTCGAGCGCAGCCCTCCATGGGTCGCCCCCAGTTCTCTGGTACGGGCGACGGCGGTAAGGGCACATGCACAACCCTCAGACGTTGTTCACGTGACCGCGCACACGCGTCTACTGTCGGAACGCGCGCACGAGTGGCGCAGCCTTTGCATCATGAGCAAATGGATTTCGGACACCATTCATTGCGGTCACACACTTCATTTTCAGGCCACTCCACATCCCTTCAACGGGATCGTGGAGACGACGTTCACATCGCAAGTACAGTCTCAGGCGCTAGAGCTGGAGCTGCGGGAACTTCTGTCCAAAGACGCTATTTCCCGAGTCCCTCGCGGACAAGAACTCTCGGGTTTCTACTCCCGCTACTTCGTAGTACCGAAGAAGTCGGGAGGAATGAGGCCGATTCTCGACCTGTCCCTGTTCAACTGCTCCATAACAGAAATGCATTTCCGCATGTTAACGATGAGACAAGTCCTGGAATATGTGCGCCCCGGGGATTGGTTCACGTCAATCGACCTGAAAGACGCATACTTCCACATACCAGTAGTTCCAAACCACCGGAAGTTTCTGCGTTTTTCGTTCAAGGGAGTTCAATATCAGTTCACTCGCCTCCCTTTCGGCTACTCGCTAGCCCCGTGCACCTTCTCCAAATGTCTGGAGACCGCGCTACAGCCACTGCGCACGGAGGGAATGAGGGTCTTATTTTACCTGGACGATCTTCTCCTGTGCGCTCGGTCCAAGGACGAGGCGTCACAGCAAACCAGGAGGTTGACAGGGCATCTGTCAACCCTAGGGTTTTCTATAAACTGGGAAAAGAGCTCCATCCTTCCATCCCAGTCGAATGTGTATCTCGGGGTGGAGTTGGACGCCTCCCTAATGAGAGCACGTTTGTCGCCTGCAAGAGCGGCAGATCTCTCCACGGTGATCTCCCGTGTTCAACCCCGCAAGATCGTGAGAGCCCGGTTAGTCATGAAACTCCTGGGCATGATGTCCGCAGTCAATTCAGTGGTGCCGCTAGGTTTGCTGCGCACGAGGCGCTTGCAACGCTGGTTCGTCCGCCTCCGGGTACACCCGATACGTAAGAAGAGACCTATGTTGAGGATTCCCCCTTCAGTGGGCGGGGACCTCGCTCACTGGGGGAACCCCTGAATCCTCTCACGCGGGGTTCCCATCGGACGTCCTGCGTCACACGTATCTGTGTTTACGGATGCGTCACTGTCGGGGTGGGGGGGCACGTGCTTGTCCCATACGGTGGCAGATCGCTGGCCCTCCCACACGCACGAGCACATAAATGTGTTGGAGCTTATGACAGTGAGGAATGTGATCAGACACTTCGCTGCCCTTCTAGAGGGCCGTCATGTCGAAGTTCACACAGACAACCGGGTAGCGGCAGCCTACATAAATCGCCAAGGGGGAGTTCGATCCCTCCCACTGTTGCGTGTTGCCACGGATTTACTGTGTTGGACACATGTCCACCTGCTGTCCATCAGAGCCATCTACATTCCGGGGGTCCTGAATGTAGCGGCAGACATCCTGTCGAGAGGGGGACCCCGCGACTCCGACTGGCTTCTGCATCCTGCACTGATATCACAGATCTGGATCAGGTTCGGGGAACCGTCTGTGGATCTGTTCGCGGCTCGCGAAAACGCTCAGTGTCGCCTGTGGTTTTCCCTGAGTCCCCGGGACAGACCCCCGCTCGGGGCGGACGCCTTCTCACACCAGCCCTGGCCTCGAACGCTCCTTTATGCGTTTCCACCAGTCCCTCTGATTCCCCGTCTCCTGGACCGAATTCGGTCGGAACAGCTCTCGGTGATTCTGGTGGCTCCCAGACGCGTGTCCGCGTCATGGTTTCCGGACCTGCAAGCGCTAGTGTCCGGCTCCCCGTGGAGGCTCCCGTGGAGGGCGGACGCCCTTCTAAAGGCGGATGGGATAATCAGACATCCTCCGGAAATAGCCCAACGGCTGTGGGTCTGGCCGCTGAGCGGTCACGCTTAGAGGCTTCTGGGCTGCCGCATGATGTGGTCGCCACGATTCAGAGTGCGCGGGCGCCCTCTACCATTGCGTCTTACGCTGCTAAATGGACAGCTTTCCAGAACTGGTGCGCAGAACGGAATGTTCAAGCGCTCTCCTGCCAGCTGGCGGATGTCCTATCGTTTCTGCAGATACTGATGGACAGGGGCCTCGCATTCAGCACTGTTAAG